TTAAACAATGAATAAATAAAATAGTTCTTCAAATATATTTTTTCTTACAAAAAGGAAAGTTATTTAGATTTTTCTCTAGAATCCAGTAATAAAGTTTTGCTTAAAAATTTTATTTTGTTTTTATACAACATGAAAAAAAACATTTTGTATTTGTGTCATAATTAGTCATAAATTGGACTTTTTTTGAAAATTTTGAAGCACAAAATTAAGATGCTATTTTGTTTTTCTACAGGCTGAATCAAATTTTATCAACAACCTAACATATTATGTTTTTATAGTAAATTACAAGTAATTTTCTGCATTTTTTTTTATAAAATAACAAATAAAGGTTTAGGATTTTTAGTGACCACTGTGTAGACATCCTACGATTTTAAAAGTCTCCAAAACCCAAAAAAACACTGACAAGGGAAAAACAATTGTTTTTGTGACATTGTCAAAATGTCAAACACTTAAGTAAAGTGACAGTAGAGGGCGCTTAAAATTTAAATAAAACACTCCACTTTTGTGTTTCTTGCAATTTGCAATTAATTATTTAACAATCTGCCAAAAAAACAATTTTTTAGTTATTGGAATCAAACAAAGTGAAAAAAGTCCCCTGTTTTTCACACTTTGGTAACGTGTCAGTAGAGGGCGCTTCTCTTGTTTTTTATGTAACACAAGAAATCAACAATAGAATAATTGCGTGTTTTTTGTGGTGCCTTTTCGTACAAATAGTGTCACAAAACCGGTGTTGCAACTCACAAAAACCTTTATCAGTAGTATCAGCTGATTAATTTCTTATCAAGTCTGTGTGGTCACGTGACCGTATAGTGCGACTCTTGTGTGCCAGAGGGCGGTGTTAGTTTTGACACTGATTTAGTCAAATTCGCCCATTTCCGGTGCCAAATCGCGTGTGAATTGTGAAATTTCGTTGATTTAACCCAGTTAGGGGTGTTTGTGTGTGATAAAACCCCCGATTAGTGGCGTTTTGGCCGTTTCCGGGATTGTAGATGTCGCTGGTATCCAAAATGGCCGTTTTTGCTGTCAACTGTCAAAACGTTGAATAAGAGAAAAGAAAAGCTACGTCATTCAAGACCGATCGTTAGCTTGTGCTCGTGTTAAATTGTGTTAAAATAGTAAAAAACTCGATTTTTTCGTCTAGTGTAGCTTTGGAAGTTTGAATAATGGCTGAGGGTAAAAGGTTGGTGACGAAAAAACGGTTTTGTCCATGTCATCATGGAGGATTTCGCTAATTTTGCTTGAATTTGCAGTCCTGACGACTTGGCGACTGCGATTTTGCGTCGCAAGGACCGCCCCAACAGACTCCTCGTCGAGGAGGCCACCAACGATGACAACTCCGTCGTGGCGCTCTCCCAGGCCAAAATGGACGAGTTGATGTTGTTTCGCGGGGACACAGTCCTATTGAAGGGCAAGAGGCGGAAAGAGACCGTTTGCATAGTCTTGGCCGATGAAAATTGTCCCGATGAGAAGATCCGGATGAACAGAATCGTCAGGAATAATCTGCGAGTGAGGCTCTCTGACGTCGTATGGATCCAGCCTTGTCCCGACGTGAAATACGGGAAACGGATCCATGTTTTGCCCATTGATGACACGGTGGAGGGACTTGTCGGGTGAGTTAGCACCGAAAATGCAAAAATACCCGTTTTTTGGGGACGCAAAGTCAAACAAAAGAAATGGAGTTGTAGCCAATGGGAATGAGGGATTGTATGCCGGTTACCAATCAGTGGGCGGTGTTCAAGGCGCGCGATTTGAATTCCACAAATGACGTGAGTGGAATGGAAGTCGCTGAACTGTCATGACTGTCAAATTATGGGTAATGGGGAGGGGACTTCCCGTAATTTTTTATCAAAGGATGAGTTTATCTAATTATACAGCGAGTCACTGAAATGAGTGGTATTAAATGTAGTGTTTTTTTTCTCTTACATCGGTACTTCCCACAATTAAAAATGGCCGATAAATCGAGATCTTGTTGGTTAATAATAAAAAGAATGTTTTTTGTTTTTTTTTTTCATTGAGTTTGACGTAACGTCTGCCTTGACAAACAATTGAGCAATAGTTGGCTCAATTTATGTGTTACGTGGCAACTTAATTAAACAAAAGAAAATCAATGAAATGATTACACACGATGATTCAAGTTTTATTGCCAACATAAAAAAAAACGTGTTTGGTAATTTTGTTTTTCTACAGGTTGGATGAAAGTTTACCACCAAATATTCAATAATGCTTAAAAAAAATTGGTTTTTACACAGGGTGAGTCATGTTTTACTGCTGATTCAAAAATTTTAATTTTTTATTAATAAAAGTTTTTCTACAAAAAAATTATGTTTTATATATTTTTTTGTATAAAA